ACAGACAGACAGACAGACAGACAGACAGACAGACAGACAGATAAGATAGATAGATAGATAGATAGATAGATAGATAGATAGATAGATAGATAGATAGATAGATAGATAGATAGATAGATAGATAGATAGATAGATAAATAAATTGTTATATTGAGTCATAAAAAAGACATTTATTTTGAAAAGTACAAGCTACTGTAATGTGATTATACAGTAATACAATAATAAATACAACAGTACAATAATAAATCTCAAAAAAAGTTAAATGCAAAATGATCAACCTTTAATCTCCAAAAAGTAGTATCCAGTCCTGCCCCAAGATTAACCACCTGGCAGTCACATTGTGTCTTCTTGAGAAAGTCGTCAAGAAGGAGATTCATCCCTTTGACACGTCCATAATAACCTACATCAAAAATAAACACATTTTGAAAGAAGACCCACTCCTCACTGACAAAGGTCCAGAATTTGTCTCATACATTACCTCATTTGTCCTATTTTGTGTATTTTGTTCTAAAGAGTGAAAAAACCCATCGAAAAAGGCTTTAAGAGCAAGCGGCCAATGCTAACGATCATTTTTATTTTAAAATCTGACGTAAGAGAAGTCTTCTTTCACTACTGTACTATTTTTAAACAGAGAAAATATTTTACATGTAACTTTTATTCTAAATTGCGGAGCTTTTTCTTGCAAACAAAAATAACCAATAAAAAGGTGTGAAGCATCAAAAGTGGCCCATATCAAATTAATTGGAATACTATTTTGAATATTTTTGTTTTCCAAGAAGTTTCAAACTTACTTATTTTTTTTTTTAAAGCGGATAAAATTGTTAAGCTGTACATTATAATAATGTTTTATTTTTATTATTATTAAAATGGCCAAATTCTGACTGGGGACACTTGGATGTGCTGGCCAGTTTGTTATTTGCCTAATAACTGACAATCGGCTACAGTTTTTCATATAAAACAGATTCTTATTTTTTCCCAACGATATATGATGTAATAAATTTGTATTTTAAAAATAAACATTTATTCATATTTCTTTATACTAAATATTTAGGAAATATTTTTGGTACATACAAAGTTTGGTTATGGTGGCCATCTAACAAGCTAATCCAGCTAAAAATGGTGCTTAAAATGTCACTAAAATGCAGTATTTAACTCTCATAATGGAATAGCAAAATGAGGAGTAAATCAGCAAAAAAAGGTCTGCTTTTTGAGAAAAGAGAACCACCCTATTCACCAGTCTGGCTAGGGGCATGTGTTAAACATAAAAAACAGCCCTTGACTTCACCATAATATTTTTTGTACCTACTATGGATGAAAGTGGCTGCTTTTCTCCAACATTATTCAGAATATCTTGTGTTGTGATCAACAGAAGTAAATAAAAAAATCATAAATGTTTAGAACCACTGATGATGAGGAAATGGTTGTTGTTTGGGTGAACTATCCCTTAACTAAACGCAACTGCACACATTGACCGGCAGGAGGAGATATTTAAACGATCAATCTTACCTCTGTTGATCTCAGGTGCTTTCCGTTCACCTATTTGCCTCACAAAATACTGGACGTAGAGGTCAGTCCAGTAACCTTTACTAGTAGCAAACCTACAAACAAACACAATAAATTAAAATGTTATTATAGATGATCATCGAATCGTATAAGTACACTCCTTATTTTGTCAAAATTATTGGAATAATCAATAATCTTAAAACTTATGCATAATATCTGATATATAATATTAATAATAGCTGCCACACTGTGCACAACCACGACAGTAGCAGTATATTTTTTACATATATGGCAGTACTGTGAAAGCACAGAAACTAAATGTGGCTAAATGTCAATGCATTCAGAAATACGGGTCAGTGTTTTCTCATTATTTTATTGCGCATCACCTTTTGCATATGGACGCATCGTCGCAAGTTGCTCTGACCGCTTCGTCAGCAGTGTCAGAATCTGTAAATGATTGTCTGGATGCCATGAACACTTGCAGTTTTGAAGCAATATAGGAATTATAGTCATAAACGCAGCGTTAAATACACATAACGTTACTGTATTCGTGAGAACACAAAATCCTAAATGTTGGCAAAACTGAGCGGGTTCCTTTCGAAGAACGCAACAGCGTAAGATTGCGTCATTGACAATATTATCAATTGATACTTTAAATATTTCTTCAAGCACATTTATTTCAATTAATCATACTGGTTTTTAACAGAAGCAAAACTGCACCGAGCGCTCCGGTTGACAATCACATGTTTACATCTACTTCCGGTGACGACACTTTCCCATAATACATTTCGAGAAGACCGTACTGCGCATGTCCGTAATTTTAATTCACATTTATGTGTAAGATTTACATTGGTTGACGTCGAGGTGTTCACGCGTATGATTCTGCAAATCATTTGAGTTGTTTTTATAAATGCCTGTTTTTATTAACATTGCTCACAATAATGTCGCATTCTTCATCATTCACGTCAATGCTGATAACGGGGAAATGTCCCGTTAGCTAACGTTACAGATTTACAGGTGATCAGGATCTGAGGGTTGTAAAACCTGTTGATATCGATTAAATAGATGTTGAAAGTTGAGGATTTGGATGGGATCAGTTTGAGCAGTATTCAAGCCCTTATATGTGAAGGTTAATAACAGATTTTGAGTAGACACAAATTTATTTAAAAATTTATTTTACTATATATATATATATATATATATATATATATATATATATATATATATATATATATATATATATATATATATATGATAATAAAAGTTTTTTAAAAGTAAAACTAAATATGATAGTGTACGCCAAGGCTGTCCTAACTTGGTCCTGTAGGGCCGGTATTCTGCAGATTTTAGCTCTTACTAGCCTCAACACACCTGGAAAGATGTTTCTAGAAAGCGTAGCAAGAGTTTGATTAGCTAGCCCATGTCTCTGATTGGGATTGGAACTAAACTTTGCAAGACATCGGCCATCCAGAACTGAGTTTGGACACCCATGGTGTACGCTATATATATATATATAAAAATGACAAAAACAAAAAAACAAACATACAAAAAACCCTTGTTGTCATACTCTCAGCAGGAAATGTTTTGACTAAAAACAATAGATTAAGATTTTGTCACCTTGTAATTAAAAGGGGTTATCTGCCTTCTGAATGATTTTGAGACATTTAGCTTCAAAGTTTTTGCATTCCGTATAGCAAACAGTATGTGTGTAACATTTGTTTTTAAAATAAAAAGTCTTAAAATGTAATTAACTGTGTAAATAACAATGTAAATAACATCTCATAATGTAAATAAGTTGTCATTTAATAAGAATATTTCAATAAATTAATTTTGACAAAAATGTCAGATAGAACCTTATCATTGTCAAAAATTTAATATTAAAAAAGAACCTAAATTAAAAATCTAAACGTTTGATAAATAAACATTGAAAATAAAAAAGCAAATACATAAATATAGCATTAAATTAATGTTATAAAATAATACAATAAATAAAAAAAACTATTTACTTTAGACACAAAATAAATAAGCCAACTTTGACAATATATATATTGGAAAAAAGTGACAGTCATTACAAATGAGCTAAAATCAATGATTTAAAAAAATTATTTATTTAAAAAGAAAATGTGAATAATTACGAATAATAATGTCACATGTCGCCTCACAGCAAAAAAGTCGCTGGTTCGAGCCTCACCTGGGTCAGTGGGCATTTCTGTGTGGAGTTTGCATGGTTTCCCTATGTTGGCGTGGGTTTCCTTCAGGTGCTCAAGTTTTCCCCAGTCCAAACACATGCAGTATATACAGTAGGGGAATGAATGCTCTCGTAAAATCATACTGTGTGTGTGTGAATGCAAGAATATATGGGTGTTTCCCAGTGCTGGGTTGCGGCTGGAAGGGCATCCCGGTGCATAACAACATATACTGGATTAGTTGGCGGTTCATTCCGCTGTGGCGATCGCTGATTAATAATAAACTAAAAGACTAAGCTAAAAAGAAAATGAATGAATAAATGATTTTTAAAAAAATTCTCAAACACAATACCATAATGATTGATATAATGAATGTTTATAGTGTAGGTAGGATAATAAAAAGGCCTTATAATAATAATAATAATAATGGGCGAAGCAGTGGCGCAGTAGGTAGTGCTGTCGCCTCACACCAAGAAGGTCGCTGGTTTGAGTTTCTTTCGCTGGGTCGCTGGTTTCGCGTTTCAGTTGGTGTTTCTGTGTGGAGTTTGCATGTTCTCCCTGCATCGCGTGGGTTTCCTCGGGGTGCTCCAGTTTCCCCCAGAGTCCAAAGATATGCGGTATAGGTGAACTGGGTAGGCTAAATTGTCCACAGTGTATGAGTGTGTGAGGATGTTTCCCAGTGATGGGTTGCGGCTGTAAGGGCATCCGCTGCGTAAAAACGTGCTGGATAAGTTGGCAGTTCATTCTGCTGTGGTGACCCCGGATAAATAAAGGGACTAACGTTAAGCCGACAAGAAAATGAATGAATCAATGAATAATAATAATAATAACTAAATATTTTTCAAATAACATTTAACCCAATTAATAATAATTAAAATGTTTGTTTTCTTTGTTTGTATATTCATTTATTTATTTATTTATTTATTTATTTATTTTATTTTATTTTATTTATATATATATATATATATATATATATATATATATATATATATATATATATATATATATATATATATATATATATATATATATATATATTTGTGGTTTTGTGTAAAACAGAAAAATCCGTCTCTAAAAGAATGTTTATGATGTTAAACTTCTACACTCCATGCAATAAGTGTCTGCATGGTCATCCCAGCTGGTAATACGAGTGGACACTGAACTCTACGTAGCTTCATTTGACTGCGTCTCAAAGCCTTTACAGCTGCCTACACAGACAGTATCTTTGAGCACAACCGACGACTGTCAGTGCTGTTTATATAGTCATCGCACTATGTTCTGGGACAGCCCACAGTTTTCACGTTCATGCCATCATGATCAGCCCGGAGCTGCGCCGATGAGAGCACTGAAACACACTCACACACACACACACACGCACACGCACACAAAGTGCCCGACTCGGATGGAGTGATCAGCCCGCTGCCATGCACTCTTTCCCGTAGTTGTCACGGGCTGCTGGCATACGTGGAAAAACACTCACTCCCGCTTATGAGACCAGTTGCAACACGGAATGACATGAAACGAGCACCGCTACTCACCGGAGCTAACTTTTTTCCACACTGCTGTTTTTTTCTCTCCCGATTCGGCTAGTTTTCTAGCTGCCTGAGCTAACCGTAAACCGGGCTGTTTTAATGTAATTAGCCACACGACTTCACTATCGTGCACAAGGATCTTTCGGCTCATGAGGAATCGACGAACACACGTCTTTACTGGGTTTTGAGGCCGACGACACTAAAATGAAGAAACAGTTTAATCGGATGAGACAGCTCGCCAATCAAACAGTTGGCAGGCAAGTACAGATTTCAAGTTTTCTGCTGCTTTTTGCCCTCTCACGGATGGGTACGGGCTGCTCTGTCATGTTGTTGTTATGTTATGTTGTTAAGGCGTCAGCCAAATTAACCAGTTGCCTAAAAAACATATTTTTGATTCACTGTTTAGTATAACAGCAACTAACTGAACAGTTAATTTTCCTAGTTTGTTATTATTTCAATCCGCTTACGCAGCTGTTTGTTCGAACAAACTCTAATTTGTATAACTGCATGTTGGCATGGATTTGTATATTAACGGTTCGGATTGTTGCGGCCTCGTTACTGTTTATTGAATACTAAATCTGAAAGGGACATGGTTTAAGATAAGCTATCAGTTAAACTAATCAAGATAAGAAATGACTGATTGATTCGTAAATGAATCATTCATTTGAGTCGAATCTTTTCGGTGAAGCCATCGAATACATGCTCATAATTCTGTTCGATCGTTTTTTATGAGTCGACTGAACGGTTCACTAATGAATCAGTGCAAGCGATTTACTGCTTTAATGTAACTATAGCTAGGTAAACAGTTTCATTTCTTAGTTGTCTGACGATAGTATGCCTAGCTTTTGACCGTAAACTAATTTTGTTTTAATCTTAATGGCCATGTTATGAGACTAGTTATCAGATACAGCACTAAAGATTAGTACTTTGATTTGTGAATAAATAATTCTTTTGATTCAGATCTATTCAAAACCCATTATGAACGATTTGTTTCTCAATCGACTGAGTAATTCACTCATGAATCATTTATTGCTTAGTATAACAACTAGCTAAAGAGTAAACTTGATTCTTTGTGTAACTATTACTCGGATTATGCAGCTGTTTGACCACAAACTCAAATTTTTAATGGATTATTCACCCAAAAAGTTGTTATTCCAAACCAATAAGACCTTCGTTCATCTCTAGAACAATTTTTTTTATCAAATCGGGAGTTCTTTGACCCATCAGACAGCAAGTGCACCGAATTGTTCAAAGCCCAGAAAGGACCCAAGAACATTTTCAAAAGCTTTTCAATGTGTCAGTGGTTCAAACTAAATGTTTTGAAGCTATAAAATATCTTTGTTCACATAAAACAACTTGAAAGTAGAATGACATTAGTGTAAGTAATTAATGACAGAATTTTTCATTTTGGACTGAACCAACACTTTAATATAGTATGATTTAAATATTAATTGTTTGTGGATTTTGTTTATTGCTGTTTATTTATTACTAAATCTTAATATGTTAACTTACTTAAAATGTATTGTTCACCTAAAAAATGCTAATTATGCCTTAATTTACTCACTCTTGACTTTTTTCCTTTTTCTTTCTTTTGTTTTGAACACACAAGATGATACATTAAAAAATATTTGAAACTGGTAACAATTGACTTCCATTGTATTTGTATTTGTATTTGTTTTGACATCCTACTATGGATGCCAATGTTTACAGACAGCTTCCAACATTCTTCAAAGTATCTTCTTTTGTGTTCAACAATTCAACCTGGTTTGGAACAAGTCAAGAGAGAGAAAATAAAAAATAATTTTGGCTGCACGACACCTTTAGGTATAGTCTGAATTATGCTTGTCACAATAATAAATATATTGACTTATCTCACAACACATGGACATGACCGCACACATTTTTGGTGATGCAATATATATCACCCATACATAAAAACCAATGACTGTAAAAAATATGGACGACGCGACAGCCCCTTTTCCCATTGAACGCCTTGAGGGCAAAACGCCTGCTTGACGGGCACAAACTGTCGCAAAAGACTGCTGAAATTGGAGCCTTGACATGCGCAGAAGGACTGTCTGATGGAGCCAGAGGAGGAGCCGCGATAATAAGCGGAGTCGAGCTTCAAACCAAACGCTTTATGTAAAATCAACCACGCCCCCCGAACTTCTCACTCGACTCCCGGTGTCTGCACTATAACAAACGCTCACTGATGTAAATAGAAGCACTTACATAAAAAAAACACAATAATATACGGGTTAAAAACGGTGTGATGTAAGCTGTTAAACTTTAATAAAAGCAATACATGGTGGACTGCAGAAATAAACGATCTTTTATACACTCTAGCCTGAATATGAGCACAAATAATATATTCTCTTATTGTTATATTTGTTGTTGGTATTTGTTATCTTCATAGGGGTAGAAATAACACTTGTAAAATATGAACAATAACATATAAACAACACATACATTTTTAGAAAGGTTTTTATTTTTAATTAGCCATCAACAGAACCCAAAATATAGCCTACACACCATAACGATTTACCATGCAGGAACAATCGTGCGTTTAGAAGATAAATACAGCAAGATTACTAAATATCAACAGGTTATTTACACATCCCAACCCTGCAATTTGTCAATTTGTGCAAAAAAACTTTGCACTATTAATACAACGTCTATCTGCTGCAACATCACTAGTATATTGTTTATTCATTTTCGCTTGAATTGTTTATTTATTTAATTTTTTTGCCTCCGTTTTCATTTGGTTTATTCGATGCCTTCATTATATCTGGCAACGAGGAATTTACATTCATTTTAATGTTAGCTGGAGTGTTCAAATAAAACGCCAACAGTAAATGATGTAAATAAATAATATCTAACATTTACAGCTCTATTAGGTTATATAAGATTCGATTTCAAGAACCTTATAATGATTTATAACAGCACATTCAGTAGATTACTTAATAACATGCCAAAACTTAAAATGCAGAGACGTCCTGTAAAGCAAGTTCAAATAACCTTACAGGAGATCAAAGTGTAGATTATTATTTAGACACAAAGAGAATTACTGCTAACGATCTCCTGTATTTTCTCCGTACTTAAATGGGTTTATTTTATTGTGCAGTTTTATTGTCATTTTCGTATTTCTTAATTCTTGTGCACTACAAAATGTATTCAATTGTATTATTATTTAATACTTGTGCAATCGATACAGGTTTATTGTTATTTATTTTGTCCTTTATTTAAATAATTGCTATGTATGCTGTTTGCATCTTTATTCAAAGGTTAAACTCAGTGATACACTTTTCGTTCACATAGTAGCATGCGTTTGTTGTTATATCAACAAAAATGGTTGTAATAACGTTAACAAATGTGAGGGTTTTATATAATGAAGATTCAATCGCGCCAGCTCCGGGCAGCAGCGCACATAACCTACTCGCGGCGTCGCGGGCTGATTCCGGCTCGCATGCGGCAGCGCCTGCTCGCTCGGCCCCCGCATCTGGCTCAATTGACTCAGGCTGGAATCGGGCAGTGAGTCCAGGCATCCGGAGTAGGTCCAGCAGAGGTAGTCTGTCTGAGGGGTAAGTCTCCGGCAGGCAAGAACTGGCCCCAGTGTATTTTGCTATCTGGGTGGCTAGGCGTGTATTAGCAAACTAATAAAGCCCGAAAAAAGCTCTGACCTTAGCGAATAAACAGTGTTCCACCAGATCATGTATGTCAGAAACTGTAGTTTACTGCTGAACTCATTTTGTCATGGTAAAATAACACAGAAATCGAGTAATAACACTTCAGTCTTCTGCCGAAGCTCAGACGCCGCGCTTTGAGAAACTGTCAATCACAGCTGTCAATCACGATGACACGCCCAGCATTAAATTACTGCTAAAAACAAACTGTTTACAAAAATGAAGATCTGCACCTATTTCAGCACAATAATCAGTGCCTTAATCGACCAGAACCATCTTTCGGGACATTTTATTGCAAGTGTAATTAATTTTTTTATTTGGGCTCAAGTCTCCTTCATTAACACGGAGGAGGCGGGCTTTATGACTTGTACTGCAGCCAGCCCCCAGGGGGCGATCTAACGGCCGAGACCCTCACTCAAACGCAGGCTTGCAGCACACTTGATAAAAACCAATTCTAGCAACATTCAAGCTGATAGCACAACCTCTTTCTCTATTGGAGGTGTCAATGTCAGTATGGTCAAAAAACACTAAACTGAAATTATTTTCGTTAAATATTTTCTTTAACTGAAAATAAATCTGGTAGCAGATATCGCAGCCTCTGCACTTTTTACCTTGTGCTTTTTTGTTTACATTAATTGTTTTTATTTATTTAGGAAATGCCGGTTCACATTCTGATTCCAATGCCTAGTTATTAAATTGTTAAAATGGCTATAATTAAATGAAGCATTCCTAAGAATAAATAAAATATGATGTGTTCTTTGGAGGAGTGTACTTCTATTATGTTGCTGTTATATTGTCATTCTGTCATTATATAATGAGTGGCATAAAACGAGTCTTGAAATGACAATAATATCACAATAATACAACAATATTATTGTTTATCGCCATATATATTTTGGTGCAGTATATCGTACACCAAAAAATAAACTGTGACAGGCCTAATCTGAATCAAAAACAAATCATTCTTTTGAATTTAAGTTGGATTTGTGCACTGAAATGGTTTTGGTCCAAATCAAAGTAATTTTGAACTAATTGTTTAAATAAATCATTCAAACATATTATTGAGTCAGTGATTCAATCAGAATGTCACTTGCGTTATTTCTAAATGTAACCCAGCCGGTCCTACTCCACCCAACCTGCTCCGAGCTAGGATCGAACCGGTGACCTTCCGCATGGGAGTCGGTTGTTCTTACAAGGAGGCTAAAGACCATGGCCTCTAGTGTCTCTCGCTAGAGCACCTTTAGAGGTCAGAGGAGTGAGGTTTACCTGCACAGCACTTACTAGCTGGACTCCGTTACACTCACCCCCCTAAACCTTACTCCCATCCGGGTCAAGGCACAAATGTAACCCTGCCGGTCCTACACCACCCAACCCGCTCCGAGCTGGGATCGAATCGGCGACCTTCAGCATGGCAGTTGGTTGCTTTAACAAGGAGGCTAAAGACCATAGCCTCTAGCTAGGGCACCTTTAGAGGTCAGATGAGTGAGGTTTACCTGCACAGCGCTACTAGCTGGCCTCTGTTACATAAACAAATCAGCTGGTTTGAACTAATAAATTATTTTTAGTGTTGATTT